ATTATGCTGAAGTTTTTTTATCTGGAAAGTTTCAGTTGAAGCTACTTGGAACACCATCAGAAGCAAAGGTGGTGAGTTACAAGAAAAGTTACAAAGATACAGACTTTCAGAATAGAATACCAACTCTTGCTTATAGAATTAATAATATAGACTTTATTTGTTGAGGGCGTCAACCTTTCCCAGTTCTGTCCTGCTATAGTCTACTTAACTATTGCCAATTTGTGAGTAGTTGTCAACTTTATTCACAGTGCGTTGCCGAAATAACATTACCTTGTACTTGTAAATTTGAACTTTGATTTTGGGCATGTAGATGAAGTTGGTTTCCAACTATGACATTATCATGGCATATCGAGCTTTAACCTTTAGCACATTGAATTGTTCCCCTTGCCAACGCTTTTTTTTTTTTTTTTTTTTTTTGAGGGCACAAAAACATCATGAACACCTACTGTTTTAAAATTGTTATAACTTTCTTTGTATAGATTCTATTTTTTATATACTAATAAAAGAATGTATGAGGAATATTTTGATGTAATGCATTATGTTTTGCATACTTGTGTTGATGTTGAAAACAAAAAATTGAAACACAATATAAAAAACACATACCTTAACAATTTAACATACTTTAAATTTTATTATTCCGTGTGGAGTTCTGGGGTGCAATAAGAAACAAAATGCCTAAGAAAGCTTTCATTCAGTCAAAAAAAAGTGATGTGCTTCCTCATGTTTACATACAAGAAAACACCAGTATTTGTTTGGTCTTTTTTTCACCTGACTAGCATATATTTAATTGTCTTGTTGACAAATAAAGTTATTTCATTGTTTATAAATCGATGAAATAATTCACCTTCAGAAAGGCTGCCAGGTATATCTATGGGGTCAGTATCTTCCTTAAAATTCGTCAGCCATGGATGATACTAGCTGCACGGTATCTCATGGTCATCATCGTTTTCCTCTACATCACTAGTGAGGTTATCATCTTTGACCACTTCACCGTCGAAGTCCACTTGAGTTAAGCTTTGAAAATCATTATTGGAGTCCGAATCAACGAAATTCCTGAATAAAAGCTTTGTTGGATGTTGATGTGGCCATTTTTGTTTACAAAAAAAATTGCCAAAAAGTGAATGTGGGTTTAATTGATGTTACACCTCATGTAGTCTAGAAGAATACAAAATGGCATCAGAAAACAGAAGTTTAGCTTTGTTCCAAAGCAGTAGTAGGTGGTTTCCAGCTTAAAATACTGGAAATAACATTTGACAAGTATTTATTTATAACAAACATCTCAGAGTGTCAGAATGTGCCTAGAGCTGCCAAGGGAGAGAATTCTACAGCAACAATTTTCACCTCCAGCATAGTAAAGGTTAAATGCTGTTTGGGCAACTACAGTTGTTATTCCATAGTGGACTGCATTGGTGGTGTCACTGCATTAGTCTTCAGGCCAATACACCAAAGTTTCACTGTCCCTGTTTCTTACTGTCATTTCACCATTTATTGTTAGTAATAAATAGCACAATGCATATGGTGTGTATTGGCTATTTTTATTGCCCCATCAACTACTTGTTTGATAAAGTGGGTGAAGTGAGTTAAAAACTTTCCTTTTGTGGACCAGCTTACAGTCACATCACATTGAAACACCAGTTCTCATGATAAGCGATGTTAAGCATTGTAGAGCCAAGTCAGTACCTAGATGGGAATACCAGGTGCTGTAAGCTTGGATTTGTGGGTGGTGTAATGGATAATGGCTTGGAATTGTTAATTGGAGAGCTGGGTTCCAATTCCAGTTGGGTTCATTATATTCACTTAAACACAAATACCTCTTCTCCTCTAAGCTATGGTTCAATTGGTAAAACTTAAATCCACCGGGCTGTGGATAAAGATGTTGGTTAGATCCAGTGAGTAGACCTAAAGTGTTATAAGTTCAATACCAGGTCACAGCAGTGGTGAAACAAAAATCTTGGAGAGTTGAGTTAAAGGGAAATAACTGAGACATCCAGAAGAGGTATGGTATGTGGAACTAGAACAATCTACCCTGGTGGGCGAAATAAATGGTTCAGTTCAAAATTCTAATTACCTGAAGAAGGTAGAAACATACAACGGCTGAAATGGTGTGAATATGGCAATGAAGATGAGGACAGCAATCCAACTAATGTCAATAATGTAAGTAGTTAGAACTTGTTTTTCATAAATTCTTAACCTTAAATTATTTTCCTTAATTTTACTCACACATTGTTACACAAGTCTTTCATTTGATCATCAGTCTGTAAATGAATATTTCGAAGGGAAAATCTTCTAAATTTTTCTAATATTGCTAGGGATGGTCGAGTAGGTGGTGACCTAACTACTTGACTCTCTGTTACATTTTGTCTCACTATCTGATGGGCACATGGCCGGGGGGGTTAGAATGTTTGCATTCTGACCATGAGACCTGAGTTCGAATTTTGCCATGGTCAATTTGTCAAGCAAAAGACTTCCTGATGTTATCAGTCTAGAGGGGATGATACCAGTGGGCAGCACCTTTTGGAAAGTGCCTGAAAATCATACAGTGGGTTGACCCAAAGCTTGTGATTGAAATTGGGTTGGCAGAACCTTTGGGGACAGTCGATTTGGGGATAAGTCAGAAGTCATTGTGACTGAGAGCTTGAGCGTGCTTGCCTTTTTCAAATAGTTGATCATGCTATATAACACACTCTTTTCCAGAAACTGTAACTAAGCTCTATTCAGCATAGTTGTAGTATAAACCTGTTGTAGAGTGGTTTCACAGTGGAGGTTTGTATTTGTACTAAGTCGGTCCTAAAATAGGTTCGACGTACAAAACATTAGGAACTTGATATAATAGGTAATGACGCAGAGAAATCTAGTTGTGGTGGCTGATACTTTAATATCCTGAACGACTAACACCCGTTGTCTGGTTTATCGACTGACTGACCAACCCACTGAGCGACTCCTCAAGTCGACACTTTTACTAACTCCTACTTATTATAGGGGGAGAGTCTATTAACTATAGAATAGGTGTGTTCTACTATAACAAAACCACAGGTGGGTTCTGTGGGTGTTGAATAAACACAAATGTGCCTGAGCAAGCTATCTGCAATAGGGATTGGCTAGCTGCCCTAGTAGACAGCTATCCTTGAATACAAGTGGCCAGCACTACTTTGCTGTGGATGATACTGCTTTAGGAACATGATCTGGGGGAAGTGGTGTCATGACCTCATCATATACAAGCAGGGCCAGCCTGAATCTCTGACATAATATATAATCAAGACAAAATTGCTTTACTGAATTTTGGCCAAGATCCCCCCGCCTTAGCAGAGCCAGGTTGTTTCACAAGAAAGCTTTTTTTTATCAGCAAATTTATTTACTCCTGCCTTGATAGTAAGGCTGATGAGCTCAAAATAGCAGCTGATGTAAAAAATGACCTCTAGACCATTGTTAACTGGGGCAAAAGATGGCTTGTCAATTATAACGCCTCCATAACTAAATTTCTCTCCATTAATCATCTGTGAGATCACTCTGTGCCTTCCATCAGCATGGCTGATGCTATCCTTCAAGAAAGTGACTCATTGCACCTCCTGTGGCTAATGTTCTCAGATGACATGAGCTGGAAAGACTACATTGAACCCATCGCTAGATCTGCGGCTAAGAAAGTATGTTTGAAACCATAAGGATGTTTGGAGCCTTTGTGTGGTGTGTTTATTTTTATCATCTGATCTTTTGATTTGGGACAGTTAACTTCTCCTTACTTTACAGATATTATTGTGGAGGCTGAGGAAAAGCTAAAAGCTGAACGGGTTTCAAGAAGAGAGAAGATGGTGATTAACGTTGCATTTAAGTTTTTCGAAGGTTGCAGTTATCAGGGAAGTAAGGAAACGGAAGTGAGTTCCACAGGGAGCAAGTGTGAGAAAAACTCTTGGAGTAGAGGTGGTGGTTACATGTATCAAATTCAACATTAAAAAGGTGGGACCTAGATGCCAATCTAGTAGCACATGCAGTCAGGGCACCGGAGTGGGGTGGGAAGCTCATCAGAGCAGTAGGCATGAAAATATTTGTGGAAATGACAGAGGTAAGCAATGTGACGTTGGTGAGAAAGTGACTGAAGTCACGCTCAGTTACATAGCAGATACTTCTTTGGATTTTGTCAAGAACTTTTGAGATGAGTAGCAGGAACACCTGACCTGATATGGCAACAGTATTCAATGTATGCAATGGTTTGTTTTCTACTTTTTTATACCATTGATGGATATGGATTTTTGCCTTTTTTTCCGAGATTTAGTGTCAAATCTATGGTTAGATTAGTATCTAAAAAGAACAATTCTAATATAGTTGATATACTTCTGTGTACCTTACCAAAAGCTCTCTTCTGCTCCTTGTGTGTGGGCCACTGTTTAGAAAGAGTCTTAGTTTACATCCACTTGTTTGGAGTTGAATCAGAATATTGATGGTGTGTCTGACAATTATTTAAGATCTAAATGCTTCAATAGAAAAAAATCAAGAAAATTCTATTTTTTTTTGTCAGTTGAAAAAAACAAACATGTTTTCTGCTCACCATAAACTAAAATAAAAGGGACAAATTCAAAAAGAAAATAAAAGCATTCTGGAAAGAAAATGAAAGAAAAAAGAAAGAAAATAAAGGAATTCTGGAAAGAAAAAAGCATCCTGGAAAGAATATAAAAGAAAGAAAATAAAGGCATCCTGGAAAGAATATAAAAAAAGGAAATAAAAGCATTCTGGATAGAAACTTAAAGAAAGGAAATAAAAAAAAAAAAAGAAAATAATAGCATTCTGGAAAGAGAATAAAAAAAAGGAAATAAAAGCATTTTGGCAAGAAAATAAAACAAAATAAAAGCAATCTGGAAAGAAAATAAAAGCATTCCGGACAGAAAATAAAAGAAAGGAAATAAAAACATTCTGGAAAGAAAAAGGAAATGAAAGCATTTTGGAAAGAAAATAAAAGAAAGGAAATGAAAGCATTCTGGAAAGAAAATAAAAGAAAGAAATAAAAGCATTCAGGAAAGGAAATAAAAGCTTTCAGGAAAGAAAATAAAGAAAGGAAATAAAAGCATTCTGGAAAGAAAATAAAGGAAATAAAAGTATTCTGGAAAGAAAATAACAGAATTCTGGAAAGAAAATAAAAGAAAGGAAATAAAAACATTCAGGAAAGAAAATAAAAGAAAGGAAATAAAAGCATTCTGGAAAGAAAATAAAAAACAATGTAGTTTGAATATTTTCCATGGAAATAGCGATAGAGTAGCGAAAGGCTTTCAACGTTCCGTCTGAGAAGGGGCTGCAAGGTTATTGTAGAGTAGTTTTCACAGTAGAGGGTTGTATTTCACTGAGTCGGTCCTAGATAAGGTTCGACGTACAAAACGTTAGGAACTTGTTATAATAGTTAATGACGCAGCAGTCTAGTTGTGGTCGTTGATACTTTAATGTCCGACATCGACTGACTCACCAACTCACTGAGGTCCCTGGCGACTGCCACTACTACTACTTATTATATGTGGGAGAGTCTATTAACAATAGAATAGGTGTGTTTCAGTATAACAAAGGTGCAAAATAACTAATCACCACAAGGCCGTGTATATTTGGACTCTATTAAGACTAGAAAGTGAAGACTGGGTAATGACAGGGCGCGGCCTCGGTCATCTGTCCCTCAGGGCTGGGCATCTCTCAGTATAATTTTCCTCAGTTGCGACTCTGTCCTTTGAAGGAGTCGCCCCTGAGTGCACACTGCCCAAAGACGCAAATGAGAGATGATAAATAGGGTATTACAAACTAGGTATTTACTCTGTCTCCTCACTAAGAATAGTTGTGACACAAGGTCTGTTTTAAGGTGGGGAGTACGTACACCCGGTCCAGGAACAAAAATTGCGCGCAGCGCCCGTAACTGTCGGTTGCGCTGGCCTCAGTGCGAGCACCGATTCCTCTCTCTGGTGCAATGAGAGGGCACAGCCTCAGGCAGCTTTCTTGGCGTTGATTATATGACGCCAGTGATACCAACAATAATTTCGATCAGGGCTTAATCTTGAAAAGACGGACGACCACTTTCGGCATCTGCCGAAATAGCCTATTCCCCATATGAAGTAAAAGGATTTGTTTGATCATTAATTATATTGCCCTGTATAAATAAAATACACCAAACTCTTTATGTGGATCAGTTCTAATATTTTTTTATATTACTAGGATCCACTTGGATTATATACCAACGGATTTTTTTTTTTTACTATATATATATATATATATATATATATATATATATGGAAGAAATATAGTCTTAAGGTGTGCTATATTTATGGGATAAAGTGCTCAATATCAGAGATAGAGCGTGTAAAATATAAAAGTGAACATAGAAGTCAACACTTAGAGGCGACAGTCTGTTTCATGCTATATGCAATCGTCAGAGCCACGTGTATATATGTATATATATATATATATATATATATATATGGGGACAATATATATATATATATATATATGCTATATATATATGCAATGTATATATATATATGCAATCTATATCTATATATATATATATATATATATATATGCAGTCTATATATATATATATATATGCAATCTCTCTCTATATATATGCAATCTATATATATATATATATATATATATATATATATATATATATATATATATATGCATGTTTTCATTAAACAAGTAAGGTACTACGGTTAAACTTAAAGGTTAAACCGAAAATCTATGTTCGCAACATAGACGATATTTTTTATTTTAGTTAATAACATTAAAGAAATAGACACTTAAGACCACATTTGAGAAAAACTCCGTCCTTAACTTTACATATGAACTTAGCCAAAAAAACAAACTTCCATTCTTCGATGTCCTCGTTGAATACAGCAATAATACTTTCATTACATCATTATACAAAAAACCCACCAGCAAAAACTCGTGCCACCCTAACTTCAACACTTAGGTACAAAATAGCAGCAATAAAAAACCTTATAAATAGAGCACATTTAGAATAATCTAATGTTTTGAATTTTAGCATATTTAATAATTTTGTGGTCGCTAAATTATAATAAGCTTTTCCATTTATGGTTAGTAAATATAGCTTTTACTTAATCATCAAACCTTAATATAACCTAACCTGCACAAATTAACATAGAATTTTAAAAGATTTAAAAATTTATAGAGATGCTCAATATAGTTGCCTTTAACTTCCAGCCATTTATTAGTACAGTGAGCTACTTTCGGGTAAAAGTTCTTCAAAATTCATTGCTGGTAATTTTACAAGAATGTACTGCTAATATTAAAACCTATTTTTACGCATTCATAATGTGCTTTGGGGGTCACTTATTTGTACATAGCTGGGATCCTAATAGATGCTACCACCCCGGATAAGGGTGGACCTGGGAACACCAGCAATTAAGAGGTGGTTCCGCGCTCCTCAAAACCTCCTGATCAGAGACCTTGCTGTCGGATGTAGTTCATCGTCTTACCCAGGACGTATAAAAATGGGATCTCTATTTCATATCAGATTATCCACTATAATAACGTTTGAAAAAAAATATATATTTAGAAATAATTAATGATTTATTGCATCATATATATATATATATATATATATATATATATATACATATGTGTGTATGTATGGGCTGTGAATGGAGGCAGCAAATATCCTTTAAGGTAAGTATTTAGTTATCGTACGAATCTCACAAATTGTCTCTACTGTTGGAAATTTATTTCTAACATTTATGTAAATCCCTATTTTGTAAATACTTTATCTTTATTTTACTTTTTATGTGTGTTGATTTTCTGTATTTTGTTTCTTTGTTTTCGTATTACTGTTTTTTATACGAAACGGCATGCGAGGAAAATTACCGGGGAGGCTAGCTCAGAATTGAAGGAATCTACGTCATTCTTAGGCGCCAAATCTTGTGCCTTTTGAATCCCGGCGTCAAGAAGACAAGACCTGTTTTCAAGGCTCCCGAAAGGAGAAACGGCACACGTGGAGATCTGAGCAATGCTGACTAGGTAGCTAAACGGATTTGGAAGAATACGTTTTGGACCTAAATATCTTCTGGAGAACCAAAGGTTCTCACAAGACTTTATCTCCATTTACTGGCGAGGCTGTTTGAATTCTGCTGTGGTGTTCCTGTTTTAGACAACATTGAAATGTTGAGTTAGATTCACGGGAAGTCTAGAACGATTCTTTGTCCGCCGAAATATCTTGAAAGGTATTTCGGTTTTATCCCTGAATCTCTTCCAGAGGAAGGTATCTGAAGCAGGAAGATATCGCCGACAGAACGGGATTCTCCTGAGGAAAGGAGATTTTATTCAGCTCGGAGCCCCGTGTTGCTAAAGAAAAGGAGTGTTGAGCCTTTGATACATACAGACTTGTTAATTTTTTTCTGTAAGACGATTTCGTCCGTTGAGAATATTGTAAATGTAAGTACTTGCCCTGTTTGTATTTTATTGTTTGTGTGTTAAAACATTGTAAGTGCTTAACATTGTATATTTTATTAAATGTTTGTTTAACCATTTTTATAGGAATCTGTATTGTGAGCAGATCCTTGTTACTTGACGTTTTATTTTATTCATTTTTATAAACGTCCGCAAGGGAAATATTTGCAACGTATTTGTTCTTCCCTCGGGGGAATTTTTAAAATAAAGCCTTTTCTTTTCTAATTTCAAACAAGACTATTTTTCATTTAATTCTTTCCTTTTCCACCCCTTCCTTTTACCTTTTTTATTTTTGCGGATTGTTTCTACGAGGTCGGCTTTGTCTGAAAATGGATAAAATTCCGACACTACCTAAGCTGATGATGATTTAAAGAAAGTCGAAAACTTCGATCATATTTCCTGTACTTCTCTTTCGAAATGAACTTCGGACAATTTGCTGACAGAATTTCCTCCTCCTCTAATGAAGTATTTATTATTCGTCATATAGAAAAGCTGGTTATTAATATTAATTGACACAAAATGTCTGTTGTCTTTAAAAATAATTGCTTTACATATATATATATATATAAACTATAATATATGTTATGTATATATATATATATATATGATATATATAAAAAGAAATATAGTCTTGAGATGTGCTATATTTATGGGATAAAGTGCTTAATATCAGATAGAGCGTGTGTAAATATAAAAGACTGAACATAGAGGTCAACACTTAGAGGCGACAGTCTGTTTCATGCTAGATGCAATCGTCAGGACACTTTAGAGCAGATTTCTGGCCTGATTGCATCTAGCATGAAACAGACTGTCGCCTCTAAGTGTTGACCTCTATGTTCACTTATATAACGTTTAGATATAACTAAAATATATGTATGTAAAATGACAATATATATATATATATATATATATATATATATATGTATGTTAAATTAGATATATATAAAATATATTTAGATATGTGAAGTATTGAAGCTTCGAATTGCTTTTATATTGTATTATAGACACTACTAATAAGAATCGTTTTCATTATTTTAATTCTAAACTATATAACAACTGAATATAATACATCATAAAAGCAATTCAAAGCTTTTCTAAATAAATAAAGTTTTAGTTTTATTGCTTTTTATTTTACGATTTAGAGTAGATTTTTATCAACACGGGGTCCTGTTTTACAAAAAGAAACTGATGATTTGAATTCTTCAAGGAGCTCTGTTTTTATCTAATATAAACTTTAAGCGGATCAAAATTTAATTTAGATGTAAATAAATTTTATGAATATTTTTTAAAAAAAGAAAAAAACAAACATTTCTAAAATGTTTTTTTTTTCATTTGTGAATAAGTCCTGAAAGTTTAATTAAAATCTGACAATTATTTGATTTTTGCAAGGATTTCCAAAATCAATGTTTTTTGCACAGCAAAAAATGACGCTAAAATTACCTATACTAATCAAGACTACCCACACTTCTGACGCCACCCCCCAAATACTTTGAAGTAAAATTTCAAATGTACTAAAAAGGATTCAAAAATATAATTTATTAATGAAAAATTGTCATTTTCTCTTAATAACATAAAGATTTTAAAGATGAAACTTTGTTTTTATCAAGTTTCGGGCATTTTTTCATCATGGTATGCTAATCTATATCGAATCAGTAATGGTACGTATATAAATATATATATATATATATATATATATTATATTATGCTCTATCTCTGATATTGAGCGCTTTCTAATAAGTACCGCGTATATAAT